AGAGAGAAGTTACTGTGAATCCCTAATATCTGGGAAGGGGTATGGGATGAAAATAAACAAGTTAGAGATATAATCAATCTAGCAAGTCTTCAAGATCTGCCAGAGAACTCTGATACACAGCTGGAGAGACGTAAACTCTTCGGAAGGCAATTGGCAATATCTGTCAAGATGCACACGCCCTTTGACTTCACTATTTCATTTCTATAAACTTATTTCACAACTACACTCTCACACATGCAAAATAACACAGGTACAAAGTTACTCATTGCTGCGCTGTTGTAATAGTAAAAGTTTGGAAGCAAACTAAATGTTCAACAATAGAAAACTAATTAGATAAATTATAATACATCATCAATGTATTGATTTCTTTTGTGTGTGTGTGTTGATTTCTTAAGGCTATAAAGCTTCAAGAAAAAGTAAGGGAGCTCTTTAGCCCTCATATGTAATGATCTCCAAAAGTACATTTTTTTAATCTTAAAAAAGTAAGTAGTATGTATGTTATAATTTGTGTAAAAGGTAATTGTGATGAATAAAATATATATTTCTATTTCTTGTATATGCACAAAACCTTTGGAAAACTACACAAAAACTGCCAATTGGTTGTGGGAAAATTAATTTCTATTTTTTAAAAAAAAAGATCCACTGGTTCAAAGCAAAAGCAGGAAATCGTTATCCTTTGCGGTCTCTCTCCACTTCAGCTGACCAGCATTCTTTCTGATCTTTCCATTCTCTCCTATTATATTAGTAAGACTCTTACGAGCTTGCAAGAAAGGTACAAGCCCAAGTTGTCTCTGCAGAGTTATTCTCAACTAGGGAGCAAATCGTGTGTGCCGCCTTGCAGAGAAATAAGAATAAAGCACTGCAGTGAGAAACAGAGAGAGAGGGAAAACAATCTCTCTCCCTGATCGCGTTCTACCTTCCAGATTCTCTTATCCTTTGAGCCTCAAACTACACTTTGTAATTTTGAAATCTGCTATAGTTCTCCTGTAACTTTATAATTTACCTTTTCTGTTTAAGGTAAACTGAATTGGTACTTCTTTTTATTTTTATTTTTTATTTTTTAAAGATTGGCACCTGATGGAATTTTGACCTTTTTTCATATTGGCTGGTTAGCTTCAGGCACAGTTAATGGTCTTTCATGGGGCCAGATTTAACTCTTTCAAAGTTGGAAGGGCTCATCGAGGCCCCACTCACAAAATATGCCTCAGGGTATTTTCATCATTTGCTTCAGTTCTCTGATGACTGAAATTAGGAAATCTTTTCTTTGGATTGAGTTATCTGCCATTGAACCACGAGTTTACTTTGTATCAATAGGTAATGTATAAACTGTACCTAATTGAGGGCAACCACCAGCATGAGTGCTGGAGTCAGATTACATGGGTTAAAGTCTAGCTATGCCTAAATGTGTGACCTTGGACAAGTTACTTAGTTTTTCTGGGTCTCAGTGACCTTATAGTGTAAAATGAGGATAATCTTAGTTTTGAGCATTAAACATATGTAAATACCTAGTAGGGTGCCTGATGCATAGTGAGTGCTCAAAAATTTTAGCATTATTATTGGCTCAAGACTACCCAGTAAGAAGTACCAATTTGGGGCTGGCCCGGTGGCCCAGTGGTTGAGTTCTCATGCTCCACTTCAGCGGCCCAGGGTTCGGATCCTGGGGGCGGACATGGCACTGCTCAGTAGGCCACACTGAGGCGATGTCCCATATGCCACAACTAGAAGGACCCACAACGAAGAATATACAACTATGTACCGGGGGGCTTTGGTGAGAAAAAGGAAAAAATAAAATCTTTTAAAAAAAAAAAAGTGTGGCTTGATGAGCAGTGCCATGTCCGCGCCCAGGATTCGAACCAATGAAACACTGGGCCGCCTGCAGTGGAGTGCGCGAACTTAACCACTCAGCCACGGGACCAGCCCCGGAAAAAAATAAAATCTTAAAAAACAAATTGCCTGTTATTACTCGTACAATTTCCTAGTGTCTGTGAACTTCTAACTGGAGAATTCACACAGGACCAAGCCAGGATTGTACTTTAGATTTTAAAGAGAAACAAATAACCTAAAATGGTCACCTCTCCCCTAGAAGGGGTTAGCGGATCCAGAAACAACCCATATACATTAAAGAATACAATAAAAGTGGCATTTCAAGTCACTGGAGAAAAGATGGCTTGTTCAATAAGCGATGCCAAGACAACTAGTTAGGCATCTGGAGCCTGACCTCAGTTTACTCGCCAAATAAATTCCAGCAGGAACAAAAATTTAAATATAAAAGCTGAAACCATGTGAATTATTTTTTAAATATTGGAATTTACAAACAGCCATTCAAAGGATAAGATCCAGAAGCACAGAAGAGTAATAAATTTGACTACATAAACATTAAAAACATGTCCATGGCCAAAAACACCCCCAAAACAAACAAAATTAAATGACAGATAAACGGAGGGGGGATGTTTGCAACATATATGACAGAAGGCTAATTTCCTTAATATATAAAGAGTTCAAAGAGATTAATAAAAATGATGAACAGCCCAAGAGCAAACGGCAAAAGACATTAAAGGCTATTTTCAGGAAAGAAATAAAAGAGGCTTATAAATATATGGGGGAAAAACCCTCATAATTAAAGAAATGAAAATTAAAAACAATGATACACTATATTTCACCCGCTGCTTAAGAGGCAATATAGTGTAATGGTTAAAATTGATGGCTCTAGAGTCAGAATACTTGAGATTAAATCCTGGCTCTACTCCTCACTGTGTATGCTCCAGTTTCCTTTGCTGAGGTTTTTGTGAGAACCAAATGGCAAAATGTAATAAAAAGCAATTAGAACTGTGCCAGACACACAGTAACTACATTAGTTCTTATTATCAGATTGACAAAAACAGGAAAAACATTGTTAATACTGTTGAAAAGAGAGTGGACAACTAGGTACTTTAACACACTGTTGGTGGATGTATAAACTGGTGCAAGGTCTGGCAATTTGACATTATTAACTTTCTAAATGCACAAACCCTTTGATTTGAAATTCACTTTTATAAATTTATCCTACTAATTACATATATCTATAGATATATTCATAAAGATATATATCTTTATTCATATCTTTATGATATGAATTTTTACGAATATATCTATAGATATAGATTTTATTACAGCAATGTCTGTAACCTAAATGGTCATCCAAATGGGACTGAATAAGTATGTGATGGTGCATCCTAAAAGAAGACACTGTCACAAGAAAACAATCCCTAAGATTTTCAAAAAAGGAAATCACAAAACAATGTGGACAGCTTGCTCCCATTATTGTTAGAATGCATAGAATATTTCTGGAAGGAGACACAAGAAAATAGTAACAGTAGTTTCCTCTGAGGAGCAAGACTGGAAGCTGGAGTCAGATGGACATTTACTTTTGATTAAACACCCTTCGGAAAAAATGGAATTTTTTTCCCCTGTACATTACTTTTTCAATTAAACAAAAACTAGTTATTTTTTAAAAATAGGATCTCAGTCATCATAGAACATCACATCTCCATCAGAAAAGCATACCAGCTGAAGACAGAAGGTTCCAAGAGAAATGATGCTTGCTTAACTATCACTGCGGCTTTAAAGACCAAGATGGATATCCCAGAGCAAAGTCCTTGGTCCTTAAAGCCATCACTCTAGAGAGTGATGAAAACCACAGGGACTAAACACAGGAGTCTCCTTTCCAGACCTCATATTATCCAGCTGTTAACTGCCAGAGCCTACAAAACAAGAGTTGTTTGAGCCAGCCCTGATGGCCTAGTGGTTAAAGTTCGGCGGCCCGGGTTCAGTTCCCGGTTGTGGAACCACACCACTGGCCTGTCAGTTGCCATGCTGTGGTGACAGCTCACATAGAACTTGAAGGACCTACAACTAGAATTTAGAACTATGCACTGGGGCTTTGGGGAGGGGAAAAAAAAAACAAAACAAGAGCTGTTTTTGCCTCCAACTCTAGAAGTGTAGGAGTGTTCTTATACTTGGTGTGTTGGTTGGGATGAGGACCGTGAGGGGAAAAGGAAGGGAGAAGGGACTGGCAATTATCCCTTATAATGCTCTCCTGGTTCTCCATGATCTATTTCTTTGGACAACTCGTATCTTACTTTTTCCTTTCATCTTATACATTAATAGACTTTACAATTCATAAAGCAGTTCCACTTTCTCCTTAATTCTAACAGCCCAGTAGATGGGGATGATAATACCATTATAGATGAATCCCAGAGATGTTGTCCAGTCCCACAAATACTAGGTTTGTGTCCTGGCACCTGCCACCGCCACCTAACTCCCCAAACCTGGTGCTTTCCCCACTATGACTTCCTCTCATCACCCTGCTCAATTTCCTGGTACCAGCTCCTGACTCTACCTCATCTCAGTCAACACCAAGCACCTGTGTTCTCAGGCCTTGTGATTCTAGAGAGTAATGGAGGAGACAGGAGTCATTCAAGGACCAAGGACAAGGTACGTTTTTCTTTCTGGGGACAAATTTGAGTCAGTCACTTTTTAAAACATTTATTCCTTTGTTATTCTGCCTGAGAAAATGAAGTAGCGAACCCTATAAACAGGATTCTCAGCAGTACTGAGTACCTGCCATGCTACATTACCTAGACACTTTATTCACTTTATGTTACTTACACTGTAAAGGCAGGCTCTATTATCTCCACAATACAAATGAGTCTACAGAAATATAGCCAAGAGAAGCCAACTACTTAATGTTATACAACTCCTATGTTCCTCTGTTGAGTAAGGACTCAAATCCCAGTGTTTGGCTCTAAAGTCCATGGTACGTTCCACCACACTGCCAAAAGAACACAGCTCATGGGGTGTGTTAAGTGGTTAAAGACCCCAGTCAAAGGCAACTTGGAAGTTCCTAACGAGTAATGGTAGAAAAAAAGACGGGGCTGCTATTCAGCTAATTTTCTTAGGTTTATTTACTCTGTCTCTCACATCTCTAAAATGAAAATGAAACTAAGTTTCAGGGAAAAAGGTTGGGAACAGAGTTAGCCAAGAAACTGAATAACAAGTAGAAGGGAAAGGTAGCCCCTGCTCATTGGGAGGTAGCCGTGGAAGCTCTGCCTTCTGCGGTTGCCAGGCAACAAAGGTAAACAGCAGGAAGTGGCAGCATCATGGCCACTAACTACAGCGCCAACCAGGTAAGTTCTTTTTCCATCTCTTTAACCTTTAACTTTGCCTTCCAGATTCTCCCTTTGGACTGTTCCCTCCCATAGATTCTGACTAGTGAAGAGACAGCTGAGAGCGGGGTGAGACGGTATTATTCCCCTCCTCAGTTCCTCAGGAGGGGGCCCAGGGACAAGCAAAAGGTATCTCTGGGTTAAGTTTGTAGGGTCTAAACCAGAGGTCATCAAGTTTTTTCTGTAAAAGGCCAGAGAGTAAATATTTTAGGCTTTGTGCGCCAAGTGACAAAATCAGAAATATTATATAGGTATTTACATAACGAGAGAAAACATTTTTCCATAAAATTTTTGACAAAACTCAAATATAATAACAGTGCATTTTTTTGTAATACTAATGAAAAGAATAGAATTCTTTTGGGATGAGAAAACATTTCACTTAATTGGGATACAAAGTTAGTGCTCCCTTTTATCAAATCAATTACAAATGTTCACCTATAAAAACCATTCTTAGCTTTCTCAGGCCATCCCAAAACAAGAGGATGAATTTGGCCCATGGGCCATAGTTTGCTGACCCTTGGTCTAGACCAGAGTTGCCCAATAAAAAGACAACACAAGTCACAAATGTAATTTTAAATTTTCTAGTAGTTAAATGAACAAAAATAAATATTTAATTTAGCCAAATACATCCAAAATATTATTTCAACATGTAATCAATATTTTAAAAGTTGGAGTCAGATGTTTTACTTTCTTTTTTTTTACTAAGTCTTCAAAATTTCGTGTATGTTATACTTATAAAGCACCTCAATTTAGACTAGTCACATTTCAAGTGCTCAATAGCCACATATGGCTAGTGGCTCCATGTAGGTAGGACAGCAAACACATAGACTAAACAAACTACATACTCTTTATAGTGAGTTAAAGCCTAGCATGGCTGTTCAGGCCTTTGGTCTTCAAAGCGAAAGAACCGTGCCTAGTTATCATTTCCCGCGCTTGGGGCCTTTAAGCCTCACAGGGGTTCTCATCTTTCTCTCCACAGTATGAAAAAGCGTTCTCACCCAAGTATCTGCAGAACTGGTCTCCCGCCAAGCCAACAAAACAGGTATTCCACGCTCAGGACACCCACAGGGCCAGTCTGTGGTTCTTTACACTGCACCTAACTTCTTTCAGCATTTAAATTCCCATATCCTCCTCTCCCTCAGCCCTTAATTCAAGCTCTTCAGAGACTTTCTCCCTCTTTTCCACCCCATTTTCATAAGTACTTCTCTCTCCATCTCTACCCCAGAGCATTTCTTCTCATGAAGGCTACACTCAGATTATCGCCAATGATCGTGGTCATCTATTGCCTTCAGTGCCCCGTTCCAAGGTGAGAACTCATCTCATTCCTATCAAAACAGGTAGAGAACAGGCATAGAGCTGGAGTAACAGAGGGGACACTTGCAATCTCCTGCAATCACAATCCGGAAAATTAAAGTTCAATCTAGCTCACCTCGTAACACAAGCGCCCCCAAACTTTTAGCCGTTTATCCAACAAGATAGAGTTTAGCACCCAGAATTCCTTAAATTGATGAATGATTTGTATAAAATGAACGCCTTCAGGTGATGATACTTATACAGTGAGTACTCTGCCAAACTTAGCCTAAGGATGCAGAATTTAAGCTGGCAGAGGTAAGGGGATGAAAAAATTAGGGTAACCTACATGAGAGGGGGGAAAAAGAGGAGTGGGGAGATTATGCTGTGTCTTATTTCATTACCTTCATTCCCAAAGGTAAAGGATGGAAATAAGATGAATAGAGGTCCTGCCAACAGGTCAGTTACTGGGAGTGAGAAGCCCTGTTGAGGAACCCTGTCTTTTTCCTTTTAGGCAAATCCTTGGGGTTCCTTCATGGGCACCTGGCAAATGCCTCTGAAGGTACCCCCTGCTCGGGTGACCCTGACCTCCCGTACAGCGGCTGGTGCTGCCTCCCTCACCAAATGGATACAGAAAAATCCTGATTTACTCAAGGCCTCCAATGGGCTGCGTCCTGAAATCTTTGGCAAGGTATCTGTTCCTCCCACCTAACCTCAAATCCTATTGTCTTCATTTCTTTTCAACTTCAAAAAGGTATATTGTTGGGACAGCCCTGGTGGCCTAGTGATTAAGTTCAGCGTGCTCCACTTCAGTGGCCCAGGTTCAGTTCCCAGGCATGGACCTACACCACTTGTCTGTCAGTGACCACGCTGTGGTGGCCGGCTCACATACAAAAAGAGGAAGACTGGCAGCAGATGTTAACTCAGGGTGAATCTTCCTCAGCAAAACAAAAAAACCCCCCCCAAAACACCATACTGTTATACCACAATTATCCCAGCAGGGGGACCCTCTAACCAATTGTGTCTTATCCTATCTAGTCCCTAATCACCTTCTGAGGCCTGAAGGGATGAGCTAAGGAAATCTTACTGTCGCCCCCCCCCCCCCCCCCAGTACAAAATGATTTGATCTCAAGGAAGAAGTTAGCAGAATCAAATTTAACTCTTCTTACTGGAGACCTGACCTTTTGTCCACGGTATGGGGAGAATGGGACTTAGAATTCTGAGATGGATTGGGAATGATCCACGTCTGACTAGAAACATGATTGTTTCTTCTATTTGCCCCCCGACAGCCCCATGATCCAGTCAGTCAGAAGAAACTCTGGAAGTCTATCACAAAGACTGTACAACAAGCACCAAGTCCAACCATAATTCCAAGCTCCCCAGCCTCAAATCTCAGTTCCCCAGATCAACTCCAAAGCTCACACCCCTCTGCAGGTCACACTCCAGGTCACGCGACCCCAGTCAACTCTTTTAACAGCCCACCTGGAAGCCCACGTGTGCTAGAACACTGGGCAGGTCCTAATCTAGCCGAAGTCCAGAAATGCAAACCTGGAACTCCAGAAAGGACCAAGGGACCACAGTGAGAAAACCTGTCTAGAGATCAAAGGAAATAAGCAACACTCCCCAGTCAGGGAAATTATGGGGTGGGGATAAAGGCGAATTTGGAAAATAAACATCGTTTTTTGAAACTTTCACTGATTTGGATTTTTTCCTCCTGCTATGCTGCTTCTTGTAACCTGTAACCGGGAAAAGGAAGGTTGGGGGGAAATAGAATAGGGAAAAGATGATAGTGGCTTGGAGTGGAAGGCATTTTTACAAGGACTGAGTTAGTTCTACTCCAAAAATGACCAAGAAGTTGGTGTGAATCATAGCAAAAGAAAACTCAAAGAATCAGTCCCTCACGCTCACTCCCTTGTTTTTCATCCTGAGCACGCCCAACTACAACTTTAAAGTCATAAGTACAATTGTTTAGTAGAGTAAGTGTATGTGAGTTTGGAGGAGGTGGGGAAGAAAAGGTATGGGGAGCCAAAGTAGAAGACACTCTCCTTGTCTAAGACTTTGTATCTCATGACAGAACACACAGGGAAAACAAATCAGAAAGTTACAAGAGCAAAACTCAAGCAAAAGTACAAATATAGTTTGAAAACTGAAGATACAGAAGTCATTAGAAGACAGAGAAGAGAGACAAAGAGAGATGGTAAGCAGAAATTCAGGGCAGAATAACAAACACGATGACCACTCTGAAACTCCAACTCCACAAGTCAGGAACTCCCCATCCATTTCACAGCCTTCAACTTCTGCTCATCTCTGTCCCCATTCTGCATCTTCCTGGTACTGGCTGTTATATTTAATGCCCTTGCCAAACCTTTCCCAGTCTCAATGCCAAAGTGTTCCTTCATGAACACACTTGTCCCTCACTCCAAGGACAACGACAGAGGACATATGGGTTAAGCTGGAGGAATGCTACAAAGACTTCCTAGGACCAGTCTAGCAAAAAGGGAGAAGTGAGCATTACTTAAAGCGAAAGACTACTTGGGAGCTGGGATGAACACTACTGAGGCAGCAGGGCTCCACTGTCTTAGCCTAAGTAAGGTCTTCCTCTCTGACACCAATTACAGTCAGTGCAACTTCTCTCCAACCCACAGCTTTAACTGGTTGGCCAACAACTCAGCCACGGACAAGACAGATCTATCACCCCAGACTTTCCAAGAATATCAAAACAGCATTCCTACCAAAGGAGTTAGGGACCCCAAAGTCTGGCTTATATGGATTATAAAAGCAGCAAGTTTTCTCATTAAATTATAATGTTTGCCAGGCTTTCAACAATCTTTTTTTTTAAGATCGGCTCTGAGCTAACATCTGTTGACAATCTTCCTCTTTTCCTTTTCTTTCTTTTTCCTCCCCAAAGCCCCAGTACATAGTTTTATATCCTACTTGTGGGTCCTTCTAGTTATTCTATGTGGGATGCCACCTCAGCATGGCTTCACGAGCAGTGCTAGGTCCGCACCCAGGATCTGAATCGCCGAACCCCAGGCTGCCACAGGGGAGTGCGTGAACTTAACCACTACACTACCAGGCCAGCCCCATCCCTCCTTTCTTATCTCTACTCTCTTCTCTCTCCAAATCTACATGCTTAGTGCATCATCCCTTAGCTGTCACCTTCACTGGTTCCTAGCTCCCTTGACTAGATAATAATTTGCTGAACTGTACCATGAGGCTTATAATTAGTTCTCAGTGAGATTTTGGAGACGGTAATAACTCAAACTCTCTCCACATGCTTAACTTCCTTTCTCTTACTCCTTCCTTCTCTGAGGCTTCTGCATGCTGTTAAATCTTTGGCTACTTGTATTTGATTCTCTGAAAATTTTTTCAGTGGTCAGTTGTCAGAAAAACTGTTTCCCTCCTAAGAAAGGTCAGACTGGGGGACGTAAATGCCTGAGACCAGAGGGAGGAGGAGGAAATTGGCTCCTCCCCAACCGCCATTCTCTTGGTTTCTCTAGATTTCAAGGAGAGTCAAAGACAAAATGAGTATTTTAATTCAGTTTCAGAAAAAGACGTCACATGAATTTGGATTAGAGAACATGACAATAAGAGGCTTGTTTTTCCAGAAAGGCAAGGAAAAGAAATAACCCTTAATAGGTTCAATGATAATTTTCTGGATCTTCCTCTTGCATCGTAAGCTATGTATCTTCTCCCCAAAGCACCTGCTCCAAGAGCCAACTCACTCTCTTTATCTCCCTCTAGCTGGGACAGGGTAATTCCCCTCCACCCCCACCCCTCTTCTTTCAGTCATACTGCGTGGGTGCTAAAGACCCTGGGCTCTGACCAATGAACAGAACTGTCCTTTAAACCGGCAACCCACAGGCAGTGGCACCCGAAGCCCCACTCCCAGTCCCCATGGCAGAGGCCACAGAGCTGGCATTGTTTCCACTGTCTCAGGAAGAAGGAGCCAAAAGCTGACCCTCAGCACAAATCAAGGCCCAATATGGAGACAGAATAAGGGTCCTAGGCCCAGAGTAGGCTGCCAGCTGGGGACAGGAAAAGGGAGTTTTGCAGTCATTCCATCTTTAGAAACAAGGGGAAAAGTGGACCCTTTTCCACTACTATGTTTCTATATGGTACACTATTGCTGAGCTCCAAGGGGATGTGCAAGCACAAAAGGGACTAAACAAATCAGGAGAACTTTGTCCTGGCTGGAGATAAGAGTGACAAACAGGAAGACAGGTCAATATAATCATTTGTAGGAAGATGATGTTGGAAACTTTAGCTCTTCACATGGCTGCCAGCCCTACAGAGGACAACACAGTAAGAACCAAGACAACCACTCCAGACTGGTATAGCTGGGGAATCTTCAGACCTTTTCCTAGGTCCCATATCTGTAGGGGAAAAAAGAAGAATTTCAGCAATCAGGTCCTTGGTCACTCTCATAGGTCTTTTCTCAGAAAGGAACTCCATCTAACGGAACAGACAATTCATCGCAGCATAATTCTAGAGAAAAGCACTTCTTTCCTCATGCCCCGTCACCTTTCTCAAAATCCACAATATAATATCTACCACCCACTTTTTCAATGACAGGAGAGGCATTCTCAGCCCCTATATGCTAAAGCTTCCAGACTAAATAGATTAAACTTTCTCTCATGACAACAAAGCCGCATCAATGTTTCCTGAAGTATGTTCCTCCAAAAACTAGTTCCTCAGAATGTTGAGGGAAAAAAGTTCTGTGGTCAAATGAATTTGGTAAACATTTAACTGCAAGACTTCTCAAACAATTTATTAATACACATTGTGAATCTCCAAAATGAGGATAGAATATACATGATTTCCTACAGATAGTCAATCACAGAATCCCTTTTGAGAAGGAACATCCGTCCATCAGGGGACTAATGCTCCAAAAAAACCCTCTTTGGGATTTAGAACATTATTTCTCAAGTCTGTTTTGACTGTGACCCCCACTAAGAAATAGCTTCTCAAGATAGTTATTACTTCCTACTCTCTTAGATCAACCCCACTCTCCACCCCGCCATTAGATCTTCTGGCAAGGCAGCTCTGAAGCTTAGAGGGCAAGAACTACGGACTGTCACAGAGAACAGATAAAATCCTGTCCCACACTCAGAGCCAATACTTGCTAGGAGGAAAAATAAAAGCACATTTAAGGGCTTAAGAAAAGCCTTGACTGAGTCCTGAGATTTTGTAAACTGCTTCCCCAGCCTTCTCCCCATATTGAGACAAAAGCAAATATACTGCAAGTCCCACTTGAGCCAAGATGCGAACAGAAACGCTGATCAGCTGATTCTCATTAGAGCTTTGTTCTGTAGAAGAAGTCGTCATTAACAGAAACGCCCTCCCTCTCCATCCCTTCCCCCTGAGAGAAGTGAGGTTACTTTGAATCAAACTGAACACTACCACAGGGAATAGGTGACAGATGCACTTAGTTTCTCACCTTTTCTGATTCCATTAAACTCTCTGTTGGACCAGATTGAAATTCAGAAAGTACTTGTCTCTAGGCTCTCATGTGGAAGTTATAAAGGTCAAATTAAGGCAAAAGCCTCCATCTGACAGATGGCTCAGGAGAGAAGTAAGAATGGAAACAAGAAGAATGGAATTGTAATTGTTTTCCTGGGAAAGGAAGCAAGACTAGGGGTAGGCAGACCACAGAATGTGAAATCTCAAATACTGGAGGAGGGACTGATCTCTGACCAGGGGCAGGTTTGATTAAACTTTAATTCCTTTATAAAGAGAAAGAGACACCAGTTTGAACTGACCCCAAGGTCATATAGGAGGCAACATGGACAGTTTTCAGACCATCAAAAGATTCCTAAACCCAATTAAAATCTGGGATCCTAGGCACCCAGTTTCTGTTAAAGTTGGCCCTATTCTCTCCAATAACTCAAAATAAATAAAAAACCAAAACAGTTAATGCAATCCAATGTCAAGATAACAAAAGTTAGTATATTTGACTCCAGCCAGACTTATTCTGAGTTGACAGGAATGTTAGACTGAAAGCAGCAACCATGTTTATCTAGCCCCTGACTGAATCCCCAGTGTCTAGAATAGTGCCTGACACAACAGGTACCAATTAATTATTTGTCTAATAAATACGTCTTCTATGCCAGAAGTATGACCTGGCTTCAGGGGTTTCTTTTACTAACATCCCTCTTTTTTTTTTAAACTTGGCACCTGAGCTAACATCTGTTGCCAATCTTTTTTTTTTTTTCCTTCTTCTCCCCAAAGTCCCCCAGTACTTAGTTGTAGGTCCTTCTGGTTGTGCTATGTGGAACACTGCCTCAGCCTGGCTTGATAAGTGGTGCCACATCGGTGCCCAGGATCCCAACCGGTGAGACCCTGGGTCACAAGTGGAGTGTGTAAACTTAACCACTCAGCCACAGGGCCGGCCCCAGTAACATCTCTAAAACTGGAAGAGTTCGCTCTGAGACCTTGCAAGTATCTGCCAGGCCTACATCCAGTGCTCAGCTACATCACTAGCAGGGCTGCCAAGAATTGCACTGGGGGTCTAGTTTAGCTTCCCCTGAGAGGTCCCTGAGCAAAGGTCCAGTACAATTAACTTTAAGAACAGCACTAGGGGCTGGCCCTAGGGGCTGCAGTGGCACAGCGCGTAAGTTCGCACATTTTGCTTCAGCGGCCAGGGTTCGCCAGTTCAGATCCCAGGTGCGGACCTACGCACTGCTCATCAAGCCATGCTGTGGCAGGCGTCCCACATATAAAGTAGAGGAAGAAGGGCACAGATGTTAGCTCAGGGCCAGCCTTCCTCAGCAAAAAGAGGAGGATTGGCAGTAGACGTTAGCTCAGGGCTAATCTTCCTCAAAGAAAAAAAAAAAGAAGAACAGCATTAAACCCAGACAATGAAGGAGAAAATCCTCCCAGCCTCTCCATTCCCTTCACCCAGAAAATGTACAAATCTACAATTAACTTACCAAGTGTCGGATCCCATTCCAGGTGTGATACATGAGAGGGAAGACAAGTGCAAACTTGGCTGTGTGGATCAGTGCTGGCCCCAGACACAGGGACTTTACAAGTTCCAAATGAGACTCAAAGTTCCCAGGGACCAGTAGGGCGGACAAGCCAAAAAGAGAGACCCCTGAGGAGAAAAGCAAGTAAGCCATCACAGCTGCCCACCAGCTACAAGCAACGTAACACATAAAACTGAGTTCTATGACAGCCCCTGGCAACTCTTACAATTCTAAACCATTTCAAAATGGGGAAGATTTAAACTAATGTTCATGTTTGTAGTGGGAGATAGGCTACTTACGATCTGACCCTAATCTCTTAAAATTAGCCATACATTTTAGAATATTATTCCTTGGGGCGGGCCTGGTGGTGCAGCGGTTAAGTGCGCACGTTCCACTTCTCGGCCGCCCAGGGCTTGCCAGTTCTGATCCCCGGTGCAGACATGGCACCGCTTGGCAAGCCATGCTGTGGTAGGCATCCCACATATAAAGTAGAGGAAGATGGGCACAGATGTTAGCTCAGGGCCAGTCTTCCTCAGCAAAAAGAGGAGGACTGGCAGTAGTTAGCTCAGGGCTAATCTTCCTCAAAACAAACAAACAAACAAAAAAATAGAATATTATTCCTCCTTTCAACATCCCTCTTGATAAAAATTTCACCTCTCACTTAAGAAGTCACCTCTGGCTGCAGCTGTATCATCATCTCAGTAAGAAAAAGTAAAAGCAGTATATGCAGACAAAGGGAAAGACTGAGAAAAAAATTTAAAACATTCAAATCTCTACCACACAAAAATTTAACTCAAAATGGGTCAGAGACCTAAATGTAAGGGCTAAAACTATAAAACTCTGAGAAAAAAACAGGAACAAATCTTTATGACCTTGGATTAGGCAGTAGTTTCTTAGATATGACAGCAAAATCATAATCAACAAAAGAACAGATAAAATGAACTTCATCAAAATTAAAGTTTTGTGCTGCAAACAATGCCATCAAGAAAGTCAAAAGACAACACACACAATGAGAGAAAATATTTGTAAATCATACGTGTGATAAGGGACTTGTATCCAGAATATATTAAAGACTCTTACAACTCAATAATAAAAAGATAACCCAATTTAAAAATGGGCAAAGGATCTGAATAGCTCTCTCTCCAAAGAAGGTAAACGAATGTCCAGTAAGTATATGAAAAGATGCTCAAAACCATTACCCATTAGGGAAATGCAAATCAAAACCATAATGAGAAGCCACTTCACACCCACTAGGATGCTATATCTAAACATAAAATTATATGTACATTTATATAAAATATATACAACTTTATAAATGTCTAATGTATTTAATTTATATTTAATAATGAATATAAATAAACTAGGTTACATATATATAAAGATAAAGAGACAAGTAACAGCAAGTATTGGCAAGGATGTAGAAAAACTGGAACCCCCATGCATTGCTGGTGGGCGTGTGAAATGATGTAGCCATTTTGGAAAACAGTCTGGCAGTTCCTCAAAATGTTAACAGATGTTTATTAATAATGTTAATGTTAATGTATGACCCAGCAATTCCACTCCTATGTATATACCCAAAAGAAATGAAACATAAGTCCACACAAAAACTTGTACATAGTAACAGTAGCATTATTCACAACAGTCAAAAAATGGGAACAATCCAAATATCCATCAACTGATGAACGGGTAGATTAAACATGTTGTATCTATAGAATGGAATATTATTCAGCAACAAAAAAATGAAGTACTGATACATGCTACAACATGGATGAACTTTGAAAACATTACGCTAAGCAAAAGATGCCAGTCACAAAGGACCATATATTGTACAATTTTATTTATATGAAATGTTCAATATGGGCAAGTCTATAGAAACAAAGTAGGTAAGTGGTTGCCTTGGGCTGGAGGATTGGGAGGAAACAGGGAGTGACTGCTCATGGATATAGGGTTTTGTTTTGGGGTGATTAAAATGTTCTAAAACTGACTGTGGTGATTGTAGCACAACTCTATGAACACACTAAAACCCACTGAATTATAAACTTTAAATAAGTGAACTGCATGGTATGTGAGTTATATCTCAATAAAGCTGCTATGAAACCATCTCTACCACAACAGTTGCTACCTAGTTTCTACTCCTACACATTTCCATCAGTAACTGTGGCTCGTTATAGTGATTCTCAACAATAGGGTGAAAAGATACATCTGTTGAAAATGCACAGGATTATTTTAACACGCATTTAATTATCCATTTCCACTCAAGACAGAAGAGTGGTTAGAATCATGACAATTCATCACTAGAAGGAATCTTCTAATAGTAAGGTTATTGAGATGAACGTGCAAACTCTTTCCAAGACCTTAAAGAACATGAAACATTTATAGCAGTAGGGGATGGAAAACAGCATGCAGAGAGTGTAAGATTGTGTTCTACTGCCATCAAATGTAGCAAACATGCACTCCTTTCTTTCACAGACATTTACTGAAAGCATCCTATGTACTAAACCTGTGCTAAACTTCTGGCGAGAAAAACTACGACATGGTCTCTGCCCTTAAGAACTAGGGGATCTGGTGTCAAGATGGCCGCACAGGAGGACCCTGAACTCACCTCCTTCCACGGACACAACAAATTTACAACTAGTCCTTGAACAAGTACCCTTGAGAGAGAACTGAAAACTGGATAAAAAGAATCCCCACAACAAGGGACAGTGCTGACTGAGGTGGAAGAGACGGAAATTCCTTTCTTGAGAGGAAAAAGCCATATTTTAGCCACGGCGCTTCACAGCTGAGGGCAATGTTAAGCTGCTGCTAAGGTGCTTGGTCCTTCCGAGGAAGCTAAGGCCGCGTTGGGTTGAGGCCCTCACTTCATCCAGCAACTAGCACCATGCCCGGCAGAGCCTGCCCAGCACTCGCCCGCACCATGGCCTCCGACTTGGAGTTTGCCTGCATCTACCTGGGCCTCATCCTGCATGAAGATGAGGTGACAGTCACTGAGAATAAGATCAATGTTCTCATCAAAGTGGCTCTCATCAAAGCAGCCGGCGTAGATGTTGAAACTCTCTGGCCAGGCTTGTTTGCAAAGGCCCTGGCCAGTGTCAACACTGGGAGCCTCCCGCAGTGTAGGAGCTGGTGGACCTGCCCCAGCAGCTGGCGCTGCACCAGCAGGAGGTCCTGCGCCCTCCACCATTGCTGCCTCAGCTGAGGAGAAGAACATGGAAGCAAAGAAAGAACTGAGGAGTCTGATGATGACATGGGCTTTGGGCTTTTTGACTAAACCTCTTGTAACACATTCAATAAAAAGCTGAACTCTTGGGGCTGGCCCAGTGGCGTAGGGGTTAAGTTCACACACTCCACTTCAGCAGTCTGGGGTTCGCAGGTTTAGATCTGGGAGGTGGAGCTAGCACCGCTCATCAAGCCACACTGTGGTGGCATCCCACACTAAATAAAGGAAGACTGGCACAGATGTTAGCACAGTGACAATCCTCCTCAAGCAAAAAGAGGAAGACTGGCAACAGATGTTAGCTCAGGGCCAATCTTCACACACACACACAAAAAGCTGAACTCTTATCAAAAAACAATAAACACAAAGAAGCTTACAGTCTAGTAGAGACATTTAAGTAAATCAATCTACAGTACAGGGTATGATGCTAGAGTGAACTAGCACCACAACTAAGCACTATAACAAAGGTATATTTGTGCACAGAAGAACTAGCAGAACCAAAATCCACCTGGTAGAAGGGGGAGAGTATCCTGAAAAGCTTTTTGTCAGGGGTGGCCTGGTGGCACAGGGGTTAAGTGTGCTGGTTCCACTTCAGCAGCCTGGCGTTTGCCTGTTTGGATCCCAGGTGCAGACATGGCACCACTGGGCAAGCCATGCTGTGGCAGGCATCCCGCGTATAAAGTAGAGGAAGATGGGCACAGATGTTAGCTCAGGGCCAGTCTTCCTCAGGGGGACAAAAAAAAAAAGGAGGATCAGCAGCAAATGTTAGCTCAGGGCTAATCTTCCTCAAAAACAAAAACAAAAACAAAAAGTTCCCCATAATCCCACCACTCAGAGATAACCACTATTTTCTGTATACCTAAGAGACCATGTTTCATTTCATGTTTTTTTTTGAAGTACCCAACCCATCAGAAAAATAACACCTATTTCAAATACAATTACTGCGACAGCCATCTTTTACTGAAAATTTACATAATTATTTAACCGTCATAACAATCTGAAAAACAGTACTACCCTCATTTAGCAGATGAAGAAACTGAAGCTCAGAAACATTAAGAAGCATATCGGAGTTTACTCAGCATGAAGTGACTGGGCTGAGAATTGAACACTAAATTCAGATTCTCTCCACTAATACCACACTTTTTTCTTAACCATTTATAAACTCCTGATTCTTTTTTTTTTTTAAGATTTTATTTTTTCCTTTTTTTTCCCAAAGCCCCCCGGTACATAGTTGTATATTCTTAGTTATGGCATGTGGGACGCTGCCTCAGCATGGTTTGATGAGCAGTGCCACGTCCGCGCCCAGGAGTTAAACTGACAAAACACTGGGCCGCCTGCAGCAGAGCACGCGAACTTAACCACTCGGCCACGGGGCCGGCCCCTAAACTCCTGATTCTTAACTGGTTTTAGATTTGTTGGTATTTTCATCCTTTAAAAATACTGATCTTGAGGGCCGGCCCCGTGGCTGAGTGGTTAAGTTCGCGCACTCTACTGTGGCAGCCCAGGGTTTCGCTGGTTCGAATCCTGGGCGCAGACATAGCACCGCTCATTGAGCCATGCTGAGGCGGCGTCCCACATGCCACAACTAAAAGGACTCACAACTAAAAGTACACAGTTATGTACCAGGGGGCTTTAGGGAGAGAAAGGAAAAATAAAATAATAAAAAAAAATACTGATCTTGAGAAAATTGGCTTGTAGTTATGTAGTAGAATGGTTTTTGAGAACATCTGATTTTAGAAACAGTCTTTTCCTTTTGAATTGATTAAACTAACTGACAGAATTCTATGACATCCATAGGAGAAGCAAAGGCTGAAGTTTTGACTTCCATCAGTTTTGACTCAGCGGTAGGTAATATGAGAGTAGACAGTGTTATCCTAGGATGTGGCAGACCTATCAGTCTTTTCTTGTATGGGTTAGTGTTGTTACAAGTGGCCATTCCCAGGACTCAGCTGTTAGACTGCTGTCACATCTGGTGCACAGATGAGGGCTGAGCCTGCCCTGATAGCTAAAAGCATACGCGTGGCTGTTGAAGTTTCCGAGCTTTGGGCTTGCAATGAAATTCAAAGGGATAGTGGAGGGGCTCCTGTGGTCTTTCAACTTCCTATCTATCTAGACTGTGGAAGATCCTTGAACACTCCTGGGTCCATATCTTCCTCCCACACCTTCTCAAACTCTCAGTTCATGTACCTCAGTGTTTTCAGTAGTTTTTTTCATGGTTTTCATGCCCCTAAGCCAAAAGAAACACCTAACAGTTTTGTTTATTAAGTAGTTAGATCCAAACAACTTAAGTATTTATGTTCTAACAATTTAGCAGCCTTTTGAAAAAAATTATCCACATAAATGGAAATAAATTTTTTTTTATTTCATTCTTAAATAACCACAAGTACTTACTAATGGGATGTATACATTGTTAGATACTGTACAATTCCTCAAACCTTGGAAACCAGAGTGGACATTACCATTCTCATTTCCTGCTCCATACTGATTTTCACACAGGTCAGACTGGAGAATGAGACCTTCACTGAAAGATCACCTGAATCCATAAGCAAACCTACTGCTCAGGCAGTCGGCTTCTTTTCTAGAAAAGCCAAAGAACTTACAGATTTATAAAGTAACTAATGGAACTCTGAAATGGCTGTTTTTTCCTTCTGGGCTTTTCATGAGATGGGACCTTAGTTACTGATTCTCAAATGTGATGTGTTATACATACAGTAGGAATCCTGGTCATTCAAGACTGAGGCACAAACTCTGGAGTAAGATAGATCTGAATTCAGTTCCAACGCTGTCAATAGCTATTACATCACTTCCTTTTCTGCTTATAATAATGCCTAGTTAGGACTGTGAGAATTAAATTAAATACTTTACATAAAGTTTCTAACAGAGGTCTGGTAGTGATTATTATTTACATTAATAATGGGAATATTTCATCCTACACCTCAGAACATGGCTGATCATTAGTAGCAAAAAATCTTGTTCTCGGCCCTTCTTACTTCATGACTGCTATATCTTAATCCTCACATTACCAAGATGGGATGACCTGGAAAAATTGGTTGTTACAGAAGGGAAAATGCTTCATTCTTCCTCAGTGCATGAAAACTCCTGACACCTCCCCCACCCCCACCAAGGCTGCAGGAAAACAGACAGGCAGAATACATCATGATGAGAATAGTGTGACAACACTTCAGACTAAAGAGCAATCAGGCGCTGTCAAGCTCAGTTTTAATCACTTGGACAGCTCCACCAAGGCTCTTTTAGATGTTTTCATTTTCATTTGCAGTGACATCTGCAGGGGTTTGCTGGGAAGAAGTATCTGAAAGAGTCTATGATGGCTTCTGGAAGTGGCAATAGGACTTACTGACAATCTGCACAGTTCTGTAAATAGCACTTAACTGTGGTGGAGCAGCCTGGAGCTGGTCTTGGCAGCCAAGTGAAAGTGGCATTTAATTTTTCTTAGTGATTAGATAGGACAGCTTCGGTGACTTTGTTTTCCCAATTTAAATTGTTTAGCTCTTAGAAGAGGCCTCCTCAAGCACACAGGTTCCAGGAGCAGAAGCTATTTCCTGCTTCCCAGTACACTAGACATCAGAGGGGGATTTAGGAAATCTCTTATTTATTTTCTTCTCATGTATTTTTCACTTGTAACGAGGAAAGTCTTGGCCAAAGTCACTTTTGACTGAATTAACTGACTGATGTTGTGCTTGAAGATGTGCTATAAGAAGAAATACATATTTGGCCTTTTTGCCCAGTTTCTGGCACGCAGCTCCTAAACCCTTGGAATCTCTGGAGTGATGAGTGTCTTTTGTATGCTAATGAGACGACTGGTGGCTGGGGGCTCCTCAATAGCTTCAGGATGGGGGCTAGTTGCCAGAAAGACCAAGGCATGATCTGAGGGTCGGAACCTTCAGCACCATACTCCCCTCCTCTTCCCAGCCCCCCACACCTCTGGATAGGATAATGGCTGGTAATTGAGTTAATTACCAATGGCCAGTGATCTAATCAATCCTGCCTAGGCAATGAAATCCCCATAAAAATCCCTAAACTACAAGGTCCAGACAGCTTCCATGTTGTTGAACACATCCATGCGCTGGGAGGGTGGTATGACCAGAGAGGGCACAGAAGCTCCACGTACACTCACCTCTCCTCTCCCCCATACCTTGCTCTACACTACATAGCTCTTCCATTTGGCTGTTCTGAGTTGCATCCTTTATTTAAAAAGCCAGTAAATGTAAGTAAAGTGTTTTCCTGAGTTTTGGTAAGCTGTTCTGGCAAATTATTGAACCTGAGGAAGGGGTCATGGGAACACTGATTTATAGCCAGAATTTTATATATAGTATTTAATTTACTTCTCACAGTCCTAACTAGGCATTATTATAAGCAGAAAAGGAAGTGATGATATAGTAGCTAGTGACAGCATTGGAAGTGAATTCAGATCTATCTTACTCCAGAGTTTGTGCCTCAGTCTGGAATGACCAGGATTCCTACTGTATGTATAACACATCACATTTGAGAATCAATAACTAATGTCTCACCTCATCAAAAGCCCAGAAGTAAAAAACCAGCCATTTCAGAGTTCCATTAGTTATTTTAGAAATCTGTAAGTTCCTTGGCTTTTCTAGAAAAGAAGCTGACTGCCTGAGCAGTAGGTTTGCCTATGCATTCACGCATCACTCATCTCTCAAGAAGTTCTGATTCTTCAACCTACCTGTTTTTAAAGACTACCCAAAACATTCAGTACCATTCTTATACCCACTCAAGATAACTATATAATTCATTTATAGTTGCATTCCTCTAAAATATCCATGGTTCAGCATCCATATTTTCTTGTTCTAATCTCATTCTTTTTATTGTTGTATACTGCATCTTGTTGATTACCCTTTGCAGTCTCATTCATACTGCAGCTTCAGCTACACGCTGTTCTCAAGGAATTTACCTGATTTCATGTAGATTTTTAGAGCATCTGTCACTGTGAAAAACCATGAGAATTTTAATCCCTATAGAACCAAAATAATGGAAGAGTGTTACTAGCCATCTCTTTCCGTCTTTTAAAGGATTATTTGTAAAATAGAATTTCAATAAATTCTATTTTCAAGTCAAACTAGTGTCATCGTGCTTTTTAGTTCAACATGCTTTTTAGGATTTATATATTGGCCACAAATCTCTACAGACTGAATAAATACTTTATCATGGATTTGTCTAGGCCAGTTTGTCCTTTTACTAGAACAAACCAGAACATGAACCTTTTAAGCCTTCCGACGGTCAAGTTCCAACTTCTCAGTGTGGCAGTCAAAGTCCTTCACTGTCTGGCACGCTTTCCAGCCTTATCTTTCACCACCTCTCCCATAAACACTACTCTCAAACCACCAGACCTAGTCATCATTATCCGATGACTCTGGACACTTGCCAATCCCTATGTCTTTGCATAAGGCAGTTTCTCTGTTGGAATGCCCTCCTCTATCTCCTCTTCATGAACTCTCCTACTCAGATTTCTTTCAAGCTCTTCAACTCCTTCAGAGTTGGTCTCTCCTCTGGAATCTCATATCTCTATTAAAAAGTAATCACGGTGCATTATAAATATTTGTCTTACTCCTTAGACTCTTCTACCCTTAAAGATAGAGGCTATTATTATCATTTTCCAATTTCAAATGCATAACAGGAGATTAACTAGAAGGTAGGAGGAATGAACATTTCTGAAATGACCACTATGAGCAAAGTGATTTATGGGTGTATTCACTTAGCAAATGAAGATTTTCTAAGCACCTACTGAGTGCTAGAGGGTATGAACGGTAAATAAAATGGATGTCATCCCGACTCTCTGAAGAGTCTACAGTCTAACAGAAGAGAGAGATTTATAAAAAGCAATCAAAATAATTACAAATTACATAATATAAGCTAGGAAAGAAACAAGTGAGTGTACTAAGAACAATGAAGGACTAGTGCTGTGAAATAGAAAATTAACAATAGAACTAGAAATAGAAGCTACAACTTTACATATGGTGGTAAGCAAAGTACTCTTTGAGTGACAATTTTGTTGAGATCTAGGCTAAGAAGGAACTAACCATGCACAGTGGAGGAAGGGGTACAAGTGGACATTTCAGATCAAGGGAATAAAACATGCAATGGCTCTATGGTGAGGGAGATTTTTGCCTGTTCTGAGGAGTTCAAAGACCAATGTGGCTCAAGCAGAGCAAGCCAGGGGAGGAATGGCAGAGATGAGTTAGGCAAGGGCCAGATCAGACAGGGCATTTTTAGGCCATGGTGGAGATTTCAATTTTAGTCTATGTGCAAAGGAAAATAACGTAATAGGAAGATTCTAAGTGTGACATGATTCAATTTACTTTCAAAAGAGTTTTATTTTTCTTGCTGTTGTGTGAAAAATAGATTAGAGAAGACTCAGAAGAATGCAAAGATCACAGTTGCTGAGACTGACTTCATTTCAGGCCAAATGATCCAGGTCTTCTCACCATTTGGTTCAATGGACATCATCTTCTAAAAGACTGTTGTTATTAAGTTTATCATGCTTCTCATTCCTATTTCCATAGTTAACATCCAGAGTATAGTTTCTTGAAATCCCATCAACACTCGGACAGGCATTATTAAATGCCCGTTTTGCAAGGAATAAACTGAGGTTTAGAGAGCTAAGTTCCTAAGTCCACCTAGCAAAAATCTATTCCCTTTCAGTTTTGAAAGAAGGACCTCTATGAAGGAGTCAACATTCTTTTTTTCATTCAGTGGTGATAAATACACTGAGATAATAAGGGAAACTATAGCCTGATAAATAAACTGCTCTCGTTCTTCCAATGATTTTTAGGATTAAATCTGCTCATTGATACCACCAAACTAAGCAGAAAGTGTCAATCTAAAGATTATGAGATTGTAAATAAGCAGAAAGAAAGTAACTATGAATTTACAGTTAGACTAGTCTAATATTGAAATTTATTATGTTAATTTCAGTGCAAGTAGGTTAAAGACCAGAAATATACATGAATTCTCAGGCAACACCAAACATCTTTTTTTTTTTTAATTTTTTCTTTTTTTTAAATTGCTTTTTCCCCCCAAATCCCCCCAGTACATAATTGTATATTTTAGCTGTGGGTCCTTCTAGTTGTGGCATGTGGAATGCCGGCTCAGCACAGCCTGATGAGCAGTGCCATGTCAGCGCCCAGAAGCCAAAGCGGCAAAACCCGGGGCCACCAAAGTGGAGCGTGTGAACTTAACCACTCAGCCACGGGGCCGGCCCCAACACCAAATATCTTGATACCTGGATTTCATCATTCCTTTACCAACCAAAGGAAAGATAACATAGGAACGATACCATCAGATCTTAGGTAGGAGTTCCTCCTTACTTGATTATCAACAAAACTAATCTGATTGCAAATATCAGAGACACAACTTTAGATAATTTCTGCCAATGTCTCAGCAGTAGCTCCCTAAATACAGGATCCCTACACTTAAGCCACCAGTCCTGCTCCTGCTGATGACCACTTCAGTAAAAATGTAGTCTACAGAAGCCTAGGATGGCCCTGAAGGATATTACAAAAAACAAAAATATGTCCATGTCTCCAGCACCAGCCATAGAAAAATTTAAAATATAGCTGATCTTCTCACAAAGTATCCCTACCGGGGAAAGACGCATCACATCTCAGAAACCTGATTATAATCTGCACTTCCTATCTGTAACAAACCTTACTATTTGAAAAGGATACACTAAGATCAGCAGACAATTCACTCTGCAGTTGTATTTCATATTAAATAATTAAATAAACAGACATTCTGGTCTGTAAACCAAGATTCTGTGAGATTAGAGTGTGAGTTAGTCCTTTTGAGCCTGATCAATTCTACGTGACAAAGAATAGATGCTAAAACTGAGTTTCTGGAAGAATAAGGCTGATGACTAGTCTTAGACTGTGTTTTGTCAATGTTAAGTCTGCCAGTCCATCTCTATTATATTTCTCTCTCTGCTCTCTATAATTTCAATAAATATAGTATCAGGACGTGCTAGGGATGATTTAAAAATTGGCTAAGAACCTGAGCATAGCAGGAATTCAGCATTAATTGTTTAAGGACTGAAAGAACAATAAGCTTAAGTGAACTCATCATTTTCTCTAAATCAGGCTGCTGAATTGCAAAGGAGGCAGCGCCTAGAGCCAGAGAAAGAGGAAAGTTCTTCATAGAAGTGTGTGTATGCACATGCGCATAAAACACACAGACATACCTGCACTCAAGGCAATACCAGTTCCACGGTGGCAAATGGACATCACCATAGGAAGAGACCAACTGCAAAGAAATACACAAAGGCAATTAAAAAAAGGAAAAGTAGACACTATAGTAGAGTCCATCTTGGCAAAGAGAACACAAACTACTTTGGAAACAGGCACTATTTAAACACAAACACAAATAGATTTCACATTCCTATGTTTCCACTTTCTGGTTTGAAAATAAGAAAACATATATTGAAGGAGAAGCATCCCTCTTTTACCAGATTGCATTACCGACAGAGCTAAGAGGAGAATCAATTATAACCCAAATTCCTCCATTCATAAGGAACAACGTGGGTCACACACCAATTAAAGTTGCATACAGTTAGAAAATAATCACTAGAGGCCAGTCCCGGTAGCCTAATGATTAAGTTCCGCACGTTCCACTTTTGGTGGCCTGGATTTGATTCCCAGGTGTGGACTACACCACTCGTCTGTCAGTGGCCATGCTGTGGCTGTGGCTCACATACAAAAAGGGCAAAAAGAGGGGCCCGGCCCCCTGGCCAAGTTGTTAAGGTCATGCACTCCACTTCGGCAGTGCAGGGTTTTGCCAGTTCCGATCCTGGGCACAAACATGACACAGCTCATCGGGCCATGCTGAGGTGGTGTCCCACACAGTACAACCAGAGGCACTCACAACTAGAATATAGAACTATGTACTGGGGGACTTTGGGGAGGAGAAGAAGGAAAAAAAGAAGACTGGCAATAGATATTAGCTCAGGTGCCAATTTAAAAAAAAAAAATCTAAACAAAAAGAGGAAGATTGGCAGCAGATGCTAGCTGAAGGTTAATCTTCTCAGCAAAAAAAAAAAAAAAAAGAAAAGAAAAGAATACAACCACTTGGGTTGTTCTGTTTCTCCAGTCATAAGACTCAAGTAGAAGGAAACTTAAGCAAGTTGTATTTATGCACTGTTTCATAGACTATATGATCATCCTTGAATTCTGTCTTAGTATATACGCCAAAATATCCAAATTGACCATAGCATTTATTCTCTAATAAATTACTTGTCCCAAATTTTTAAATCCAGTTTTGCTGGATTTAATATATGTTTCTTAATCCACAGTAGGTTGAAGTACTTTGTCATCAAACACCTTTTTAAATCATGTTCTTAACTGTAATTTTGCCAAAGCATTTCACAGAAGGACAATGAGCACTGCCATATTCTAGACCTAGTTCTCATGGTCAAGAGGGAATCGGTTAGTGAAATGGAAAGAACAGGAGTCTTTGGATAAAGTTAATATTCATCCTGGAAAGTCAGCTTAGATAGGGAATGCTGAGCATAATCAGACCACAAATTCACCACTCTAAAGCATCTCAAGTAGGTTGAAAAGATATCAAAAAGAAATGCTAACATATAATGAAAATGCTCACAGTAAAAAAGGAATAACATCCAAAGAAACCAAAAAAACTGGCTAGACACCACTCTGATTAACTCAGACTTAACAGGATAAATATAAAAGGCGGAAGAAGAACCACATAACAAAGGACAAGCAGAGAACAATGGCATAATTTGGTTAGATGAATCAGGAAACTAAAACCCAGAATGAGCTGAGGCTTGCAAAAACGTCAAGGACAACAAAAAGGGGCTTTTAAAATTGTAGTCAGGGAAAGAAAGGCTCCTAACTGGGATGGACAATTTTATGTTAATGGATGACGGAGTGCAAAGCAAATTGCTCAACTATTTTATTTGCCAAAGAGAATGATTATCAGACTGAAAAAGATAGCACAAATATTGATTTGAGAGAACTGAAAAAAAAAAGAGGTGGGGAAATTATAAGACATTGCTTAGCATTCCAAATGCACTTAGGGCTCCTGGCCAGATGAATTAAATCCCATGACTAAAAGAGCCAAGAGATGAAACATAGGTACTGTACTGGTAGTCTTTCAGAAATACTGAAATAGAAAATGGGAGTAATGTGAGAAACCACTGAAGCCAAATGTTACCCTAATTTTCAAAAATGGTTAAAACCATAGCCTGGTTAGTCTAGTAGTGAGAAGGTAAGGGAGATTTTATTTTCAAAATAATAACCAGGATATTATTTCCAGTCCCACGCGATCTTCCAGAATCTTGTCACTCCTCATCAGGCAAGTATTTAGCCCCTTGAATCCGGGCACAACTTCATGATCAACTGCCTCAAGAAGGAGAATGCAGCTGCGCTGACATTGCATGACCTCCAAATCACTTTCCCTCCCTACGTCCCTCCCTCTCTCCTGCTATGAGGAAGGCCAAAGTAGCCTATGCAAAGAGATCACGTACAAAGGCCCACATGGAGAGAAAATGAGGGCCTCTCTAATGGCCAGGATCAACCCAAGACAAGTGAGTAAATGATCTTCAGATTAATTCAGGCCTAGCCTTTGTGTCTTCTAGCTGAGGCCTCAGACATCAGGGAGCAGAGACAAATCATCCCTACTATTTCCCATTCAAACATTAGTAGAGAAAATCAAGACTGTTTTAATTCACTCATAGCAAAGATGAAAACTATGAGCCAGTATGCTTTCCTTTAGGAAAAATTTTTTTCAGGAAATACTAAGATCCTTTGGAACACAGATTATATCTTATTTATCTTTGCATTTCCAACTCCTAAAGGAGTACCAAGCACATTGAGCAATCACCAAATATCTACTGATTTGAAATGTATTAATTTTATTTGCTTTTCTGACTGTTAGCAGGATGGTAATCAAGGAAAGGCTAGAGACATAGGCTATAAGAATTTCAGCAAGCGATCTAGTAATTATGCTGTAAACAATACCATCAAGAAAGTAGCACACACTTCTCCAAAGAAGATATACAAATGACCAATAAGTATGTGAAAAGAGGATCAACATCACAAATCATTAGGGAAATGCAAATCAAAACCACAATGAGATAGTTCTGTGCACTCATTAAGATGTCTATTGCAAAAAAATTTTTTAAAAACCAAATAAGTATTGGCAAGAATATGGAGTGCACTGCTGGGGGGAACATAAAACAATGTAGTCACTATTAAAAACAGTATGCCAGTTCCTCAAAAAAAATAAATATAGAACTATCATATGATCCATCAGTTCCACTTCTGGGTATACACCCAAAGGAAGTGAAAGCAGGAACTCAAAAAGATATTTGTACACCAAAGTTCATAGCAGCATTATTCACAATAGCCAAAAGGTAGAAACAACCCAAATGCTCATGGATGGAGGGACAGATAAGCAAAATGTAATATATGCATACAATGTAGTATTATTCAGCCTTAAAAAGCAATAGAGGGGCCGAGCCTGGTGGCACAGGGGTTAAGCGTACACATTCCGCTTTGGTGGCCTCCGGTTCGGATCCCAGGTGTGGACATGGCACCGCTTGGCAAGCCATGCTGTGGTAGGCGTCCCACATATGCAGTAGAGTAAGATGGGCATGGATGTCTTCCTCAGCAAAAAGAGGAGGATTGGCAGCAGATGTTAGCTCAGGGCTAATCTTCCTCAAAAAAAAAAAGCAACAGAATTCTGACACATGCAACAACATGGATGAACCTGGAAGATATACGCCAAATGAAATACGCCACATGCAAAAGGACAAACACTGTATGATTCTACTTTATGAGGTACCTAGAGCAGACAAATTTATAGAGACAGAAAATTGACTGGTGATTGCCAGGGGCTGGGGGAAGAAGGGAACGGGAACTATCCCTTAATGAGTACAGTTTCAGTTTGAGAATATGAAAGGATTCTTAAGATGGACAGTCGTGATGGTTGCACAACAACATGTATGTACTTAATGCCACTGAACTGTACACTTAAAAATGGTTAAAATGGCAACTTTTACATTATGCATATTTCACCACAATAAAAAAAAGTTAAAAAAAAAAGTAAAACGACAACCCAATTAAAAAATGAGCATAGGACATGAATATACATTTCTCCAAAGAAGATATACAAATGGCCAATAAGCACATGAAAAAATATTCAAAATCAATAAAGGTTGCCAGAAAGGGGGGGGGGGGGCTTAGATCTATTTTAGATCTATTTTATATAGTTTGAGGTAGAACTAGAGCCACTGGAGAGAAGACAGAAGTTGTAGAAAGGGTCTTTCTGACGATAAGAGAAATTCCCAAATTAGAAGAGGGCAGTAGTGACTTCCTTGTCACTAGAGGTGCACAAGCATGGGCAAACAACCATTATGAAAATACTGCAGAGGAAATTCACTCATTAGGTACAACGGTGGCTTTTAAATATGTTTCTTTTGAGCGGCACCTTTTCTTCGAATGCAAAAATCAATAAATAAAACAGATCAAAGTAAAGTTGCTTTGCTTACCCAGGGCTGCGGGCCTACAGTGCAGTCTGCATATTGGCCAGCCCCACACAACTATCCACAGAAGCTCGGCAGAATATCCAAAGCCCCAAGGAGTACTCTTCAAACCAATGAAGGTGGTGATTTCATTAAATTTAAAGAACCCTTCCGACTAAGTTTTTAAAAACGTTTTCTAACATCCTTTCGAATGACTCTTGTTCTCCTGGTAACTTAACCCCTGTACACACTTTTGCTTTAATAAACTGACTCAATTTATTGCAATAAAGAGTACTTCATAAAGTGGTAACTTCACCATTTACTTCCATGCCTCCTCCCAAAAATTCTAAAAGTTAGTAGTAATAGAAAATATGATTCCAGATATCTCAGACATCTTTCCTGGATATGTTACCTTGGAAACAGCTCCATGTTCCCTGCTGTTTCTTTTTTTCCCACAAGTACACCTAGAGTTTCATAACTGGAAGAGCAAACAAAGGTAGTGAAAGACTCCCCTCACCAGCTTACAACCATTTGTTATATGACCCATGAAAAGGGCCAAGGCTTTAAATACAGATTCAGAATAATTTGAGTTCTTCATCATTATAATCCTCCCTCAAATCTTTTATCTCTTAAAAGTTTAAGTTTCACCACAAAGTAGTTGGGATTGAGGATCACTTATTAGCCTCCTTCTGTTTTAGCAGAATGCCCAATTTCTGCAATCAGAATTATTTCTGGAATCTGGCTTGGAAAAAAATCTGAAGGGTTATGGTATTTGTGGAGGTGGTTAAAAAATGGCCAGCCTTCCTGGCAGCAGAGCTCAAGATGCTTTGCTGGGTTAGCTAGAAAGGAGTAGATCTGCAGGGGTTTTTCTTAGAAGACACTAGCATAACAGCTATCAGTGCTACTTCTGAGGACAACAGAGAAACATATAGATGTATGTATGCATATGTATATACTCACATACATGCATGTATGTGTGTGTTTGCATACACATATATCCTAGCTCTATCTACTGAAAGGGCCTAGATGCAATGACACTCTGGTAGCAATGAGCACATCTAGCACCCAGATGTTGACTTCACAAGAGCTATCTTGAAAAACTCCTACTGGCCAAGTCTGGGACAATTTGAACATCAAAACAAATGAGTAACAGTGTAACCCTTTGGGCAAATAATCAGAAATATACGGACATCTATTGGTCTCTGTTCCCGGTTCCTGATACAGAGCTCCTAAAACCCTTATAATCTCCTGAGTGATAAGGATGCCAAGAGTATCTTTTGTTCTAATACTTGGTCTTCTACTCTGGTTCCTGATAACACAGTTCCTAAATCCCCTGAAGTTTCCTGGGAGGTAAGCGTCCTTTGTTCTAAAGAAGTGCCTCTGGATGAGGGCCGGTCACTAGAAAGACCAAGACATGATTAGAAGCTTGAACTTTCAGCCCCTGCCTTTTTCCTGGGAGGGGAGAGAGGCTAGAGACTGAGTTAATAATTAATCATGCCTATGTGATGAAGCCTCCATAAAAATCCCAAAAGTACAGGGTTCAGAAAGTTTCCAGGTTGGTAAATAAATCCGTATGTCAGGAGAGAGGCATACCCCAACTCCATGAGGACAGAAGCTCCTGTGCTCAGGACTCTTCCAGACACAGAGGTACCTAAAAGGGCAGCTGGCTGTTCATCTGTGTCATTTGTAATAGCCTTTATAATAAACTAGTAAATGTAAGTAAACGTTTCCAAGTTCTGTGACCCACTCTAGAAAATTATTGAACCCGAGGAGGGAGTCGTGGGAACCCTTGATTGATAGCTGGTCAGTAAGAAGTACAAGAGACAACCTGGGACTTGCAACTGGCATCTGAAGAGGCGGGCAGTCTTATGGGACTGAGCCCCTAAACTGCGGTGTCTGTGCTACCTCTAGGTAGTTAGCATCATAACTGAACTGCAGGACACTCAGCGGTGTCCAGAGAGTTGGAAAAGTGGTTGGTGTGGGAAAAACCCCCAGACATTTGGTGTCAGAAGTACTGGAAGTAGAGAGGAAACAGTGGTGTTTTTCCTTTAATTGGTGTCATAAGAGTAGAGGAGAAATGAGTTTCCTTTTAGGAATCCTTGAGTCTGTACTGATAAAGAAAGCAAGCTTTACCCTAGAATAATAAATAAATCTAGAAGTTATGATGGAATTAGAAAAATCACAATTTGGCAACCACCATAGTAATAACTAATTCAGGCAAATACCATCAACAGATACTTCGTAAGTAAAAGTCTGATGAGAAACAGAATGTTTACAGTCTCAGAGTATCTCTCCACAAAATACGTATTAATTAATAAACCCAACATCTTTATCCATTAACTTTATAGTGGAGAAACCCAGCGGACACATTTTAATCAGTGATAAAAGTTTATAGTAATGAGATATAAATCACTATCATGTGCTGTCCCCTGAAACAATGCACTGAGAAGAACACAGCATCACTTCAGACGTATTCCTGCCAAAAACACAAAAATCACAAGAAAACAAAAGAAAAATCCAACCTGAGGAACATTCTCAAAATGTCAAGGTCATAAAAGAAAGGAAAGACTAAAAAACTATTCCATACTGAAGATTAAAGAGACAACTAAATGCAATACATATTCCTGGGTTGGATCTTGGGCCTATAAGCACATTATTGGGACAACTGGCAAAATCTGAATGGGATTTGAGGATTAGATGGTAACATTGGGTCAATGCTAACTTTCTGATTATGACGATTATACTATGGAGAGTGCCCTTGCATTTAGGGAACACACTCAAGTATTAAGGAATTGTGGTAGGCAGAATAATGACCTCCCTAAAGATGTCCACATTATAATCCCTAGCACCTGTGACTATTTCACCTTATATGACAAAGGGAAATAAGGTGGCTGATGAAATTAAGGCTGCTAATAAACTCACCGTAAGATAAAAAGACTATCTTGGATTATCCGGATGGGCCGAATGTAATCACGAGGGTCCTTAAAAGTCTAAGAGGCTGGCAGAAGAAGGGAGTGAGAGAAGAAATGTGACAATGGAAGCAGGGTCAAAGTTATGGGATAGGAGAAGAACTTGACCCATCCTTGATGGTTTTGAAGATGGAGGAAGGAGACCACAAGCCAAGGAATTCAGAGCAGCCTCTGGAAGCTAGAAAAGGCAAAGGAACAGATTCTTCCCTGGAGCCTCCAGGAGGGAATACAGCCCTGCCAACAGCTTAATTATAGCCCAGTGAGACCTTCGTCAGACTTCTTACCTCAGAGTTCTAAGATAATAAATGTATTAAGCCACAACATTTGTGATAACTTGTTATAGCAGCAATAGAAAACTAATACAGGAGTAATGGGGCATCATCTTCTCTGCAACTTGTTCTCAAATCATTCAGACATGTTAACAAGCTGGGAGTCTACATAAAGGTACATAGGAACTCTGTGCACTATTTCTGCAATATTTATATAAATTTGAAATTGTTTCAAAATAATTTTTTTTAATTAATAGGAATTACATTTTGACCTACCAGAACTTTCTGAATGGTAGTTTACAGGACAGATTAACCTTCTAAGGCCAGAAGATAGAATTTAATCATCTTCTTATAAAAAAAGCCCTGAGGGAAATAATCAGGGAGGCTACGGGCCAACCTCCAGAACATCCACCCACTATTTCTAGATTCCCTGGCTCCAGAGACCTTACCTGTAGATAGTGATATGGGGAGACATAGGACGGTTTGAACCAATGTTCTTATTCCAGAATCTTTCCATCTCTTCTTTGGCTGTGGTTCCCAAAGGAACAGCACTAAAATAAAACCAGAAGGTTTTACAATGATTAAAAGTAAGCTTAGTTTAAATTTTTACACAATAGAAAGTTAAAATAAAAAATGTAAGCTGGGCAGGATGAACTCACTGTATTAGGAAAACATGTTCATCCACTCATCTTATTTTATGCCAAGTTTGATTCAGTTATTAATAACCTCAATTACCCAATGAGGTCATATCAGAGGATAACTCTTCTTTCCAATCCACCCAACACTCAGATCCAGCAACGGAAGTTCAACTTCATTCTTGTTGGGCAGCAGGGCAAGTACAATATTTTAAAACCATTCACATAAACAGATTACCCTTTTCACAGGCCACTGATGCTTTCTCATACATTACCACCTGCCCTCATCTGATCCTTGAAGAGGCTCTCTTTCAGGTTCTCAAAAATCAAGAACTGGATTCAGCTCAGTAGTTCTGAATAGTTTCTTGATTTCCCTTGTTACTGGGCTAGGTTGAAGCCAACTGTTAAACAGCTAGGCTCAACAATTTTTTATGCGCCTCTATTAAACACGATTCCATCTCCTTCAAAAAACTATCTCCCCAGGGGCCAGCCTGGTGGCGCAGCGGTTAAGTTCGCACGTTCCGCTTCTCAGCGGCCTGGGGTTCACTGGTTCAGATCCCAGGTGTAGACATGGCACTGCTTGGCAAAAGCCATGCTGTGGTAGCCCTCCCACGTATAACATAGAGGAAGATGGGCATGGATGTTCGCTCAGGGCCAGTCTCCCTCAGCAAAAAGAGGAGGATTGGCAGTAGTTAGCTCAGGGCTAATCTTCCTCAAAAAAAAAAAAATCTCCCCATAGATTACTTATTAATTACAAAAGGAAAAAACAGTAACTTCACAGTGGGGAAAAAAACTAGCAGACATTTCCTGATTCAAATGATCAAAGTTAAAATCACTGATAATGGGACAATGATATCATATGCCCCTGATATGATTTATTGAGGCTATAACATCACTTATGCATTACTCTTGCCAAAAACGCATAAACCTGAATCTACTTAGGAAGTAAGCAAACAAACCCAACTTGAGAGAGACTCTACAAAACAACTGGCTTATATTTTTCGAAAATGTTAATGTCATAAAAGACAAAGGAAAACTAAAAAATAGCTCTAGATTAACAGATACTAAAGAAATATGAAAACTAAATACAGTATGTGAGCCTAATTAGACACTGGATAGGGGCAAGGTGGGTGGTAGTACTTCTAAAAAGTACATTATTTGGGACGAACAGAAAATCTGAAAAGCAACTGCATATCCAATAAGAGTACATCACTGTTAAATTTCTTGAATTCGATAATTGTTTTTGTATAATTATAGTGGGTTATATAAAATAATGCTCTTGTTCTTAGAAGTATTTACAAGTAAAGTGTCATAATGTCTGCAACTTAATCTCAAAGAATTCAGAGAAAATAATAAGAATAATTAAATATATAGCAGGCTGAACCACACTAAATTGTCAATATTAGACCAGTTTTGACTACAAAAATAACAATTTCATATTGTAAAACCTAAAATATATAGTGATAAGTAGCGAATAATAGCAAAATGTTAACAACTGATATACCTAAGTGAAAGGCATACAGAAGTTACTTCATTATACTACTCTTCCAACTTTCCCGAAAGCATAAAATATTTCCAAAATTAAAAGTTAAGGGCTGGCTCGGTGGCATGGTGGTTGGGTTTGCACACCCCACTTTGGCAGTCCGACGTTTGCAGGTTTGGATCCCAGGCATGGACCTACACCACTTATCAAAGCCACACTGTGGCAGTGACCCATACAAAACAGAGAAAGACAGGCACAGACTTTAGCTCAGGGCCGATCTTCCTCACCAAAAATAAAAGTTAAAAAAAACAACACAGAGGCAATTGTTGAAGTCAACAGACTAGGAATGAATATAGCACGAAGAAATATATTTAAAGACTAAGTCCTGGGAGCTGCCCCAAATTAAAGGTTAAAAGAAAAAAAAAAGCATTAAAAGAAAGACTAAACAGAAAGGAAAAAGAATTAGATATCAAGAATTGGAGAAAATCAATGAAATCAAACATAGCAGAAAAGCTGAATGCGAGGAAAATTACGAAGAAACCAAAGAAATATTCTATCCTTCCTTCTTACTACTCCCAGACGAGAAAAACAGTGACCACAGTCACTAAGTTTTCAGCCAACCATCTACAACTACCTGCTTTCATACATATCCCCAAAATCTGTCAACAACCTATTGCCTTTCCCTGAGGAAAAAAAAAGCTAAGTAATAATAATCACAGATTTAGAAACTTACTTTCTGATACAGAGCTGAGGACTAAGGTGGGCACGGAGGCAATGACGGCCAACATGTCTGCAAAATAAGAGAATCAGGGTCAATAGACATTTAGAGACCAACTTCAGTCTATCAGCTTCTCTATTTTTATACTTAGGGGTAGAGGGATAAATTAAGAATAAGATGAAAACAATGACAGTATCAGTGTCCTTGAGATTATTTTCTAGTTGGAAAGCTACAACTTTAAATAACTTGAGAATAATCAGAACTACTACTTACAAATGCAAAATAAAGATTTAACTGAGCACAAATAACACAAGGTAAAAGAATAATCAGGGGCTGGCCCCGTGGCCGAGTGGTTAAGTTTGCTCCCTCCGCTGCAGGCGGCCCAGTGTTTCGTTGGTTCGAGTCCTGGGCGCGGACATGGCATTGCTCATCAGGCCACGCTGAGGCGGCATCCCACATGCCACAACTGGAAGGACCCACAACGAAGAATATACAACTATGTACCGGGGGGCTTTGGGGAAAAAAAGGAAAAATAAAATCTTTAAGAATAATCAGAGTTGGTAATGTTCAACAAAGAAATATAAAAGTGATTTTTTTTTTCATTTATTTTTTGGTGAGGAAGATTGTCACTGAGCTAACATCTGTTGCCAATCTTCCTCTTTTTTTTACTTAAGGAAGATTGTCACTGCGCTAACATCTGCACCAATCTTCCTCTATTTTATGTGGGATGTTGCCAATCTTCCTCCATTTTACGTGGGATGCTGCCACAGCATGGCTTGATGAGCAGAGCTAGGTCCATGCCAGAGATCCAAGCCTGTGAACCCTGGGCCACTGAAGCAGAGCATGTGAACTTAACCACGAAGCCACTGGGCTGGCCCCCAGAAAGTGATTTTTTTAAGCTAGCTCTTAAAGGAGATGATGGTTAAGACAAGGGTTAGAAAAAAAAAAAAGCCATCAGAATAAGCTACTGACAACACCAAGTATACAGCTTAGCTATAGCAGACACCTACTGCAAATGGATGAATTAAAAAGGTTGAAGAACAAGGAATTTGAGGAAGGAGGGTACTAAATATTAAGCTATCATTTTAGGACCTAAGTTCCAGACAACATGGATGAATTTCAGGTCAAAATGTCTCTCATATAATAGTGCAAAAAATATGGGAATGCAAAGATTTCTTTACCACCCATATGAAAAGTTACTTGAAGAAGATACGCAAGTTTTCTCCTAAAAAGTTACTATTTTTCACATGTATATATCAGTTCCAGAACTGCTTCTCAAGTCTAAAACTGACATGCCCAGACATCCTATCTAAAGAGAATTTAACTGATGCAGAGTTTACCCGGCATTATGAAAAACACACGACTACTACACCCCTTTACTCACATTATTATATCAAATCTTTCCAAAAGTATTTAACAAAGTTATTAGAGGGAAGCTCTGGGACTAAAATTAGAAATATATTGACTCTACAAAAGTTTATTGTGTATCCACTATGTGAAGGCACTGTGGTGATATAAGATCTGATTAAGATCCAACGATCTTCTAAAAAAGCTCATAATGTCCCTCACACCATTGATATTAGATGCATAAACACTTCAAGAACCTTATGCTTTCCACTAGGACTCCAGAAGGACCCACTATTTGTAGGAAAAATAATCCAACCAACACTTCCTTCAGCTCTTCCCTCTTTCCAGTTTCAGACGCAGGAGGTGAATACAGACATTGTGTACCCAAAGCTCCCAGAAAGAAAGAAGTGGGAACAAATCTCTTTAAATCAATTGAAGTAATTGTGACTCTCAAGTTGCAGGGCATGCATTCCTCACACTAGGCTAGGTCCAGTCACTCAGCTGCCCAGCAAGAGTTTGCAGATGTGGGTTGGAATCTACAGCGCTCTCTCTGTCTAGTGCCATTGTTCCCCAGACAAATACCAAAGTAAACTCTGCACAAGGCCCTAACAGAAACTAGCCACACAAAGTCCATAACCTTATGTGAAATATGACAAAAGTAGATAACTATCCTTGTCTTTCATGTGAAACCAGGAACTCTGAGGAGATTTTTCTTTTTCTACCCAGGAATAGCACTTTATATGCTATAGCTAAAAAGTAATAATACTTTGGTTTTTTTAGTTAACAAGTCAGAACTTCTAATTTCTAGTTGGTTTTCCCTTCTGATGTATTATGTGTTCCCAAAAATGTCACCATTGCTCAGATCACTTTTGAAATTCTTCTCTGGATTGGGACAAGAGTAATGTAAAAAGAACACTGGACAAAGTAAAAAAACCCAAAACAGGGTTGTAGATCTGCATAAGTTGGTACAACTTTAGTGAGGCACTGAACTTCAGCTTGTTTTTTTTTCCTCCCCAAAGCCCCAGTACATAGTTGTACATTCTAGATCTAAGTCCTTCTAGTCCTTCTATGTGAGCCACTGCCACAGCACGGCTACTAACAGACAAGTGGTGTGGTTCCGTAACCGGAACCCAACCCAGGCTGCCAAAGTGGTGAGAGCACCAAACTTTAACCACAAGACTATCAGGGCTGGCTCAAACTTCAGCTTTTATAAAATAGGATTGATCATACCTACCTTATTGTTGTGGGGAGGATTACATGAGAAAATGTACAGGACAGCATTCCCCAAACTCCAGTATACTACATGTACCTAGGATACTATTAATATTTCATTGGTCTCCTCAAGGTCTTTAGAATTCACATGATATTCTTCTTTTCAAAACCCTCAGTGGTGATAAAAATATTCATCAAATTGAATAAAACTATTTTTGGTCCAAAACAAGATGTGACTATAACATAATGAGTTTCTCTTACAAGACCTCTAAACTTGATCTAATGGTATGCCAAAAAGTTTCATAAACGCCTGGGGTAACAGCAACACTAAAATAGATGTATAATAGGTCATAATAAATGACCTTGCCCAAAATAAATGGAATTAGTGACACTAGTAGAACTAGAAACCAGCTCCTAGAACTTCTTAGAAGGTATTTTCCCTTGAGGTTAAATCAGCACATTATAAACAGTCCCAAATCCCCCTAGTGAAATGGAATTAGATCCAGAATTTCAACCAGGAAAAAAATGTTTTTAATTTTCTGTTTCTCCTAAAAAAAACCCCTTGTGAGACATGAAGAGAGAGGTGCCCTTCCCATAAGAGCCTCAGATTGCCACTAATGAAAAAGAAGTCTATTTCTTGGCATTGAATCCTAGTGGTGACAGTCCTACACACTCAACATGATACTGTCTGGACATACTAAACAAGTATAATGATCCTCAGCTTCTAAACACTAACCCTTAAACTCCTAAAACGAACCTTTTAGAACCAATATGATCATTTCACGCTAAATGTTAATTACAACAAAAGCCCCTGACATCTAACAAAATACGCTATACCAAAGAATTCAAATCATTCAATATGGTCAAACTACCTGGAATAAAGGAGGCAGTTCTGGCAAGACTAGCCCTGGCACACCTTCGAAAAAAAAGATACATTTGGAAAGGAGAGGCAGGGAGAAAAATGAAGGATTAAGATAACCCATTCCTGATCTCAACCCCAAGAGAAAACATTTCGTCACCGAAAAAAACTAAAAGTCCCTCTATTTTTATACTGGGTGACTGAAGTGGAAAGGGAAATGAGAAGACATTTGGGGAAATCAGGAATTAAATCTCAACAGCATTAAAGCTAACTTTCCAAAACAAACAGTTTCCAAAAATAGCGCTGGCACGAAACTTTGCTGGGATTCGTACCAGGAGTGTCTAAAGTCACGAAAGTCGCTATGGCTAGAAAGGCTCTGAGTGGAGATTGAGGCCTAGACAGTAGAGAGCTGAGAATCTTAGAAAACCTAGGGTATTTCTCCGGATAGTGAACTGACATTGTAGAGGAAAACTGGGACATCCACTCCCCCCAGCTAAACGGATAAACTAAAAGTGAGTATCCTGGGCTGCTTTGGGGCAGCACAGCGACCACTATGGGCGCTATTGCTAATCGCCAGCCCCGCAGGTATCCCGGTAGGGGCCAGAGGCCCGACAGGAACTCGGACAATGCCCATTCATTGCCAGCAGCTAGTGTTTGCAGGAGTTAGAGACAAAGGCAAAGTTCACCAAAATCTCTCTTCCCGAGGCCCGATCCCTAAATAAGATTTCGAAATTGTAGGACCTATGACCCGTGGACCTCCGAGTTAAGAGCTACTTATTTCCTCGGAGCTTGGCTCCGAGTGCCGCCTCGACAGCACCCTGGGGCAGAATTACGAGAGGTGGGGAAGCAGAAGGGGCGAGAGCCGCGCGACCCCTTCGCAGGGAGGAAGGAAAAGATAACGGGCCGGTGACGCCGAGGCCCCACGGAGAAAGCGGAGCGGCTGGGGGAGGGGAGGGGTCGTTAGGATTCCGGGACGCGAGGCCCCCACACCCAGGAGCCCTTTCCCTGCCCAGACGCAGGGTAAACAGCTGTCAGCAAGAGGTGAGGGGCCAGCGCAGGTCTCCCGAGGGCCGCGGGCACCGACTCCCAGCCCGACACTAAAGTCACCTCAACAACAGCGCAGCCATCTTGGGTTCCGGCCTGGACGGAAATGACGCCAAACGGCCCCGCCTCCTCTGGGCGGTGGCGGCGGGCGCGCGGCCTCTGTTACGTGACAACACGGGGCTCCTAAAAAGATCAGCAGCCTCTCTGGCTCAGCCCTGTTCAGACTGTTTGCTGACTTTCTTTTGTCCTTTGGTCTCCGCCCCCGCCCCTCCTCAGCTGACTTCTACTAGAATTTGCCAGGGTTTCGGCAGAAATGCCGCTGGGTCCAACTCCGCAGTCACCTGCGTAAATATTCATTATGTTTTGCACCACTCAACAGAGGGCTTGCTCAGATTCTTCCCTGAGCACCTGTCAGTCTCATTTCACTCCCTCTCCCTCTCTGGTGGAACTAAAAACGTCTTGGTAGGCCGGCTGAGACACCCAGGGATAAAGATACTGTAGGCTCCCTCTCATTCTATTGTGAAGCTTCATCATAACAAACATGCACAAATTGAGAGCGAAGTTGGGGAGTGTGAGACTGGGCCGTGGGGGGGGAGAACGTCGCAGAGCACCATTGCCAAGAACAGGGAGCCTCTTCTAACCGCCTCGATTTGCTTCATGCCCCACAATTCCTGAGCTTGAACTGCCGCATGAGCTAGACGCCCACTAACCAAAGACAACGCTCCCTTGTCCCTTCTTTCAGGGCTATGTGGGTGACACCCACGGCCAAAAGAACCTGGGGTGGGAGTGGGAGAGAACTCGCTTTGATTTATATATAGATATATAGAAACAGTTTTGAGGAACCCAAGCACAGCAATCACTTCCAGAGCACTTAACACTTAAGGTAAAAAACGAGCGAGAAAGGAACAGAAGAGTACAAACGTTCTTGAGTATCTTTTGGGCAGGTAGGGTGGGGAGGAGTGAAGGAGACAGCCCAGAGCAACTCCTGTTCTACAATGAGACATGTTCATTACATTAATATTCAGATCTTATTTTATATTTAGCACTCCTGCACTTTTCCCTTCAGGATTTAAATAACACAAATTCACTTATTTCTGTATCAAATGAAACTACTGTTTTACGTTTGTATAATGCTTGACAAAGAAAGCCACTTTCATGGACTTAGGATTGGAAGGGACGTTAGAGGCTCTCCAACCTAGTTTTCTACCCACTGCAAGGATCTCCTCTGCAACATCGCTGACAGCTGACCTTCAAGACTCTGCTGTAATGGGTACCTCAAAAATCAAGTTTCATTTAGTGAACAGCTTAATCCTTAGAAAGTTGTTACATTAAAATGCAGTTTTCTGCTATTGAACTAGTCATTGATCCTACTTTGATCCTCTGGATCTTCAGATTAACAAATCCAATAAATGCCTCTTTCACTTAGCTCTTTAAATAATTTCATTTAACATATATGTATTGACTTTTTGCCAGAGTCTGTGAAAGTGCTTTAGGGAATTCAAAGATACAAACATGTATACTGTCCTCAAGAAGCTTATAGCTTTAGCAGAATCAGTAAATAACAAAATCAATAAAGAAATTAGCAACCCCCTGAAAGAGGTATAGGTAAAAGGTGTGAGTGGACAGAAGGAGAAAGTGACTGCTTAGAGTTAGGGAAGTGGGGTTAGAGAGCAATGTGACTACAATATCCCATAAACATTTATTGATGATGATGATTTTTCCTGTGAAGTTTATGATCAAGCCCCATATTTAGAGCTGCACAACCCAAATCCAATACTAATCACCAAACTAAGACTATAGTCAGGAAGATACAAGGAACCTGTGGCTTTACAGGTGAGACTGCAGTGATCCGATAGCAGGAAAAACAGTGACTTCTCTCCTTAATTAACCTCCAGAGCCATAATTGATGGAAATGAATCACTTTGAAATTCAAACCAAACATTAAGTCAAACCCCTTATCACCAGGGACTATCTTAAAAATAAGCAGGAGGGAGAAGCAGGGTCTAGCGAAGGCCTGAGGTGAGAGAAAGGAAGGGGAAGAGAGAAGGGAGAACATCTCAGATGAGAGTATGAGAGGTTCGGTGAAAAGCTAAATCATTTCAGATGATCCTAAGGAGGGAAACAAAGGAGGCAACAATCAGGAGAACTCTGGTCTGAACTATTTTTCTGCTAGATTTGTCTTAAAACTCAGCTCTGGCCATCTAGACACTCCCATCCCTAACCCCAACACCCCCCCCCCCCCCCAAAACCTTCAGGAAATTCTTATGATGCGGCTGCCTTAGTCTGCTGTTTAAGGTCCTCCACAAACTGATTTCAACTTTCCTGTACAGACTGGTTTCCTGTGATGCCCCTCTAAGTTCACCCAAATCAAGTCAAAGTGGAGGGTACCAGATCTGCCTTGAATACGCCCAATACTTCACAACCCTACCCTACACGCACACCTGAACACACACACACACACATTTTCTTATCTCTTTGTCTTTGTTTTCACTGTTCTATCTGCCTAGATACCCTCACTACTCATTTCTCCTTTCCAAATGGCACGCATCCTTCAGGGTTGGTCCACATCTAATATTGCCTTCTGGTCATGACTCCCCCTTCCTCTGAACTTCATTCATTAAATGAAATTGATTTTTGTTTTTAATCTCTGTTGCATAACTTACTCAGTCTTCTCATGTTGCGGCTCTATGTGCCCTCCTTTGCACTCCTAGCACTCTGTTCATCCCTCCACTAGAGCAAGCGCCATGGTTTATTGTATTTGGTTATTCGTGGGTTTGTCCTCTGATCCTCCCCACTCTGCCTTCCCAAACTAGATTTTGAACTCCTTGAAGGAAGGTCTTAATTTTTATTCCTTTTTCTATTATCATCATACCCATACTTTACAGGTAGCTGGCACTCGATACAATTTTGTTGTCTTGCTGTAAATTGAAATGGGCTTAAACTGCAGCATGACGCCTTGAAAGACTTCCTGACAAAGAGGGGAAGGTCAGGGGATTCTTCCCTGGATATGGTTCCATGGAGAAAGCTTCTATCTGGGAAGAATCACCCAGGATGCAGGGAAGTGGGGAAAAAAAAAAAAGACGCCCAAGGACCTGGTCATCTCAAGAAGCCTGTAATGCAGCCCAGGGTAATCAAGATAACAAGGGATATTCTGGCTTCAAAATTCCCCAAGGGAACCCTGCCTCTAGCTCCTAGGGCTCTGGGGAAGCCACTCTCAGGCAAGGAGCCTAGGGAGGAATCCCTTTTCATAGCCTTAGGATTCAGGTTCCCCTGACCATTTATCCCTCAGAGAAGAGTGTTTGTGTCCCTTTTTCTGTCCCTTTCCTTCACACCCCCCCCCCCACCAGCATTCCAGCCTAGGGCAGGGGGAGGCCAGCAGACACAAAGCCCTTTGTGTGTGGGGTGGTATGTGTCCCCCCCCCACCCCTCCACCCAGAGGACACAATGCCCCTTCTGCTCCCTGCACTCTGCCCCATTCCCCACCACCTCTCAACTGCACATGCCAGGCTGCAATTGGTTACTGGCTCAGGACAGCCCCCTCATACTGGCGCCCTGGGGGATTTTAAGCGAGTTCCAGAAACCCCCCGCTCAGTCCCTTGTCCCCCACTCTCCCAACCCCGCAGACGCTCCGAGCCCTAGCCCCTGCCCCAGCTATGGCTCCTGGGGCTCCCTCGTCCAGCCCCAGTCCTATCCTGGCTGCACTGCTCTTCTCCTCTTTGGGTAAGTGGAGCAACCCCAGTCTGGGGGCCCTGGGGCTCAGGTTGTCTATCAGCAACCTTCCCACTGCCTTCTCTGCACTCCCCACTGCAATCAAAGAAAGAGTGAGCAGGAACGGGAAGGTGATATTATATTTAGAGGAAAAAGAATGTATAGTTTGGCAGGAAGCAGTAGAGGTATTCTGTGAAGGGAGAAGGTGAAAGCGAATGTAGAGAGCTTCCCTGGGGTGGACCTGACTGGGCTCAGGTTGGTAACCAGTGACATGCCCCCAGAGCCATACTAAAGGCCTGGTAGGAAGCAGTGTTACAGTGCGGTAAGGAACAGGATCAGACACCTCGGTTCTGGTCCCTACTCATCCCCTTGTAAGGCAGGGAGTACCTAACCTTAGCTTCCCTGAAGAGAAAAGTCAGGGAATGTGATCTAAGGAAGGAGCCCAAGGTTTGTGGTTCCAACTCCTCAGATCCTTTGACTCTTGGTGCCTCAGTTTCTCTGTATGGATCCATTGTCTATTATGTGGGTGAAAGAGTAGAAGGGAGGTTCTATGAGATTCTAGGATCTTGCCCACCTGAAGGTTTTTTCCTTCATAAGTTGGCTAGCCCCTTCCTTGTTCCATGGCAGATGTTGGGTGAGCAAGAGGAGATCAAAGCAGGGTTATTTGAATGGATCCTTCCATTCTCCCAGCTGCCCCAAAGCCTAGTGCAATGGGTGAACAGTAGGCAAATGGGGGTTGGGGACTGGTCAGAATGTCCAAGGTTCTCTTCTGTCAGCTCCTTGAGTCCTAAACCCAGAACCTAGATTCTTCTGGGCTGTACTGGACTATTCTGGGATACCCTGAGAAAATGTTAAGGATAGGGAGTTGGAAAAGGGCATGGGGAGAGAAGGAATGGAGTATATGGAGATGGAAATCATGGAGTATAAGAGAGAGAGTTCTGTCCCAGCACCTGTCCCACTCTTAGAACCATTAAGTGGAGCTGAAGGGCAGTTGCTGATATTAGAACAGGAGGAATAGAAGTTAGACCCAATGAATAACCTTCCTTGTTACATTTGGAATTCCCAAGAAGGCTCTAAGGCTGAAGTCCCAGGAGGCGGCAAGTCACTGATATTCATGCTGAGGTGGGAGATTTGGGACTATGGAGCAGGGGGTCGGGGGATGAGGGTGGCATGAACCCCCAACGTTGGTTAGACAATGGTTCTCTGTTTGTTTGGTTGCTTCCTCCGCCTCCCGTGGAACAAAAGGGGCTACAGTTGCCCCCACCCGGGCCAGCCCACACACATAATCTCTCTGGAATGGCCTTCCTGTGTGGGTGAATCTTGGGAGCGGCACTGGGCCAGAATGGCCCAGAGGAGGGTGAGGAGGGTCAAACCACAGAGGCTCATGTGCAGAGCCATGTAAGCTCTGGACTTGGGGGGTCTTCCTCTGCACCCAGTTTTCCTTCCCTCCCTGACCCCCTAGTTAAGAGCAAGCTGGAGGCCAACCAGGGATT